ACCCCCCTTTCAATCCCTATCAGCTGCAACCGGGTCTCTCAGTTATGTCATTTACCCTGGTGTTAAAACATCTGGTCTGGTGGTCCCCATCATGATTTTCTCACCTTTCCCCCTTATCAGTGAGGACAGCATGCCAGAGACTTCACTCTGGGTTTGTCAAGGTGGGGAGAAGTGACTTGTTTGTGCCTGAGGGCCATACTGGCGGGTTCCATTAGGTAGGTGGGCCTGATCAGACTACAGGTTTCAAACTGGAGTTTTAAAATGGAGTTGCTTAGGCTAGGCCTAAGGCCCTCCTTACAGTCTTCCATGTGGACTACTAGAGCCAACTAGTCAGTAATTTTATTTTTCCCAGGTGAGTGAAGCTCTAATAAAACCTCAATGGTTAGTCTCTCCTGAGGACAGGCCTAGGGCATTTTATCCTATATTCAACCTGAGGATCAGGTCAAGTTCATGAGTCAAAGCTCACAAACTCTGCCCCCTGGAGGTTTTGACTCTCAGACATCCACACTGAGCCTCCAGCAATGCCTCAGTTACAATTTAGATTTTTCTATCAACACTTGTGATTCTCTGTATTCATCTATTTATCCCTCCAATTTTAGTGGCGGTGGTTTACCCTGTGACCTCGTTTTCTTATGGATATATTTCTCAGTTCACTTGGCATTTTACTTATTGCTAGAAAGGAGTTGCAAGTGAACTCCTTGCATATAGGAATGGAAATCAGAATAGTTTTAGAATAGTTTGCTTCTTTTTTTTTCTTAAACTAGTTTCTCCTCATCTTCTGTGTATGTAAATTCTGGAATCCCAGAAATCAGTCCTCAGCCCTCTTTCTATACCTTCTCCCAGAGTGGCCTTAAACATGGGTTCTGGCTCTAGGAACTGTAGAGTAATTCCACTGTGTCCAGTCTCTTCTACTAAACAAAACTATGAAACTGGGTGGAACACATGTAGCATACATTTTCCTCTGAAAAAGTAAATAACGGCAGGTATATTGAGGGAAATGATCCTGAAGTGGTGGTGAGTTTGCCATTTTTCCCCTCTGATATCTCTTAGCCTGAATGTTACAGCTAAAATCCAGAAGTGGACATTGACCTGGGCAGACAGAACCCCAGAAAAAACTAGTTCTGGTTCAAAGATCATGAAAGGAACTCAGAATGCAGACCCCAATTTTGTTTTTTTCTCCCCTACATTCTCTCACTCTTCAGCTCCCAAGCAACACTGAGGCAGCAATGACAGAGGCCACTTGCAGTGGAAGACCACAGGAGCCAACATTCTAAGGAGAGGCAAACTTCACTATTTTAGAGCTATGATTCCCCAAAGAATAGGAAGATTCCCTTTGCTTATTTTTTAATTTTCTATCACCCCACTGCTTATCTCCAGATATAAGTTCAGTTGCTAAAGTAGCACAGGGCAACTAAGTCTCCATTTTTCTGGCTGAAGGTTAAAAAGGAAGAAGATCAAAAGATCTAAGTCTCTAGGAAGTACTGAAGGGATCTCAGAGGAAGAAGAGCTTATACATGTGAACTCATTCATGTGTTCATGAACTTCKGGGCTCATCCTCAAGCTGAGCATTTGTGTATCTGACCCTAAACAGCTTACTGAAGTCTTTGAGGACTGAACTAAGRGAGTTCATTTCCCACATCCCAAACCTGTCCAGGGTGGCACACATAAAGGAAAAATCTGAATAGTACTGCAAAGGTGCTGAAAACTGAACTGAAATTAAAATGAGAACCCCCATAATCTTGACTGGACCCTTTGACACAAACCTAACTAGGTCTGGAAACCAAAAATATCAATAGTTGTCATAGAATTTAAGTAAAATCTGGAATCTCATARAATGTTCAAAATRTTCAGGCTATAATACAAAAGTTGTCATATATAAATAATCAGGAAAATATCAGCTTCCATGAGAAAAGACAAAAAGTATATATCATTATTGAGATGAGAAAAGTGTTTGAGTTATGTGACAAAGAACTTAAAACAGCTATTATACGCATACTCCACTGTCRCAAGCGGTTACTATAGACTCAGTCTGAGGTGCAGTTAGATTCAATAAAATCTATTTTATTAATGCTCATCACATTTCAAACACACATCCTAAGTCCTGAGTCTACACCCAAGGGTCYCAGAYGCTCACCCGTGACATGTCTTAAGTCTGGGTCGCTGGAACTGGATCTGGGCCAGAGGAGTCTAGTGCAGGGGGGACAACAGCGATGGAAGTATCAGTCTTTCTGTCCTTATCCTGTTAGTCCCATCGCTCCCCAGAAGTCTGGGGTTTTTAAGTCCTAGTTCAGTTGTGCTTATAGCTGATAACTGGGTAAGGTCTGGGGTGTACATCCCGGGTGTAGACTCTTACATAACTAACTTAAGTCTATTTGGGTTCTGCAGTTTATCTAAGTATTGCAGTTCACAGTACATCATGGGCACATTGCTTATAGTCACTTATTTATTAAACACATGCACTAATTAATATAATAAGCAGTCAATAATCCTATAATATTTATGATGCTTATATCATCCACAAACAATTCCAAACAACTTTGTAACAGTGGAAAAAATAGTCTCAGAAAACAAAACACATAAAGAACACTTCCTTGGAAATTTTAGAGCTAAAAGGTACAGTAACTAAAATTTAACTTAATTGATGGGCTGAATAGAAGATTGGAGATGATAGAAGTTATTGAACTTTGGTAAATAAATAGAAATTATCCATTCTAAGCAACACAGAAAAAAAGAGATTGAATAAAAATGAACAGCATTAGGCATGCATGAGACAATAGCAAAAAATCTCATGTTATCACAGYTGCAGAGAAAAGTATGAAGTGATGAATAAATATTTGAAGCAATAACCATTGAAAACTTCCCAAATTTGATGACATAAACCCACAGATTTGCGGAGCTTGATGAACCCAATCAGAGTAAGCCTTAAGAAATACTTTCCAAGTGCATCTTAATACAACTTCTGAAAGCTAAAAACAAAAAAAAAAAAAAAACTTGACAGGAGCAAGGCGTGGAGAAGCTTCAAGAATGATTCACACTCATAATTTTGAAAAGTGACCCAAGTGCCATGGACTGAGAGGAAGAATAGAAAAACAGATCTCAGGGGGGAAGATAATGAGTTGTAATTCGAGGGGATAAAAAGTCAGACTTCAGCTGGGCTGTTTAGTAGTAACACATCTTCAAATGTCAGTGGAATCACCAAACTCTGTTTCTAGCTCCCAGCAGTCCAGTGCAAGTCACATCCCCTCCATCTTTTAGCTTTGGCAACTAGATCCAAGGCCTTCCCAGTTCAGTGTGACTGGGAAGACGAATAGTCTTTACTTCCATTCATTGCCAAGAATTAGTCCCATGGCCCCATCCAAATGCAAGGAAGGCTATACAATGTAGACTTCTTGTGTATCTGGGGAGGGAAAATGGCATAACAAAGTCATGGCAATGTGTTTGTCACAGGGGTYAAAGGCAGATTCTTATGAACCAAGCACCCATGAGATAAAAGTATAAGGTATGCACACAGGGTCTTCCTGTGAATTCATATCAGAGTTCCTAATAGTTTGGAAGGGAAACAAAAGAGGATTGTTCTCAAGTTCCCACATGTAATACTCCTTTACACTTGCCTCCTGGCCTAATCTGTCCTTTACCTGAAACATCCATTGAATCCTTGGATATCCACCACCCAACCACATCTGCAACTATGTTCCCCTCTAATATTATCCCTCAGGAATTCCATCACACGAAACTAAAGTGAGTTCTTGAAATAACCCTTCTTCACACCTCTGAAAACAACTGTGGAGTCTTCCCTTCCATGACTTACGCCAATTTTTTCTCCAATCTKGGTATAGAACAATGTGATGCAATAGGTCATTCTGAGGGAAGTTATATTTCCATATGCATAGCCTTCTCATTTAGCAAATAAATTATGCTATTTCAAATAATAAAACAAGGAATAAAACTAACTTCAGTCATTCTATGGATTCATGTGAATATTTATTGGGTGCCAACTACATGCAAATGCTTTTTAAAAAAAAATTTTAGTTGTAGATGAACACAATACCTTTATTTTATTTATTTATTTTTATGTGGTGCTGAGGATAGAACCCAGTGCCTCACATGTGTTAGGTGAGCGCACTACCACTGAGCCACAACCAGAGCCCCATGCAAATGCTTTTTGAGTCATGGCAATACAGTGATAAACAGGACAAAGTCCCTGCCCTCATGGAGYTAGGTTTTCTGCTGGCCAAACTGACAAATACATAATGTAGTTTCAGGTTGTGATGGATAGTATATAGAAATTATAGCAGGACAAGGAAAGAGTGATGTAGAATGCTGTTTTAGATAGGATGATCCAGTGCCTCTGCAAGAAAGTGATGCCAGGTAAAGCTCTACATGAAGTGAGGAGTGGCCTGTGCAGAGATCTGTGGAAAGAGCAAGCCAATTGCAAGGATCAGAAAAGGCAAAAGTCTTGGGGTAGGAACAAGTTTGGCAAGAAGGCCAGTGTGACCAGAGATAGAGGGTAGCAGGCAGTAAGACTAGAGAGACAATGTATGCAGTGCCAACTGGGCTTCCCTATGGTGCTGGGTGGTAATTCACTTTCATGAGCAAGGTTGGAGGCAGGCAAGGAGGGCCAGTTAGGAGGCTGTGTCAGTAACCCAGGCAGGCACTAGTCCTCCATTGCAGGTAGTATAAAGAAGGCCCAGAGCCTGCCTGGAAGGAGCCTGAGTCTAGAGGGAAGGCTGTGCTCCCTAACAGTTATAACATGCTAAGAGGACTTCTCCACTGGGTGTGTGTACTCAGAGTGTGTACTCAGTGTTGTAGGGGTGCTGAGGAGAAGGATGTGCCTCAAATAGGCCCAGGGGAGTTGGAAAGCCCATCATAAAGAATGGACATCAGGGTGCTTGCAGATAAACTTGGGAACAGACTATGAGAAGAGAAAATAGAAAGTTATAAACACAGAAAGAGCTTGCTCTTTTGTATGTTCTCTAACTTTATTTCTTTTTTCTTGACAGTTTAAGAGAAGAAAAGGACCTCATGTTAAAGGAATTTGAGAAGATACCTAAGCCAGGAGTAAGTATAGATGATTTAGAGTTTGTCAAATGCAGCTAGATTCAAACATCCTTTTATATAAGAATCTTCATCACAATCAACATACCCTGAAACATTYGAAGACTGAAAAGTCATGACTATTGAAGGTGTGGAAGAGAGTATCTATGAAATTTCTGGAGTAAATATAAGTGGTGTCTATCAAAGGCTTTAGCTATTTTGCATCTAATCATTTATCATTTAGTTCAACAATATCTGCTTTGTTTCCAAAAAAAAAAAGGAAGGTTTTATGTTGAGCACTTAAAAACAGTATTTTTGCTATAGCTTATACCCTACATAGCTTTCTTAACTCCTCAATTTATTACAATAACATTTTTAAATAAAGAAGATGTATTACTTATCTATTCCTGCATAGCAGACCATCCCCAACTTAGTGGCTTAAAACAACAATAATTTCTTATTTTCTACAGTTCTGAATTCTTCAGGTCTGCACTGGCTCATTTGGGGCTTGTGTATGTCAACCCTGTACCAGGCTAGTTGGTTTAAGGTCACAGTCACTAGTTGATCCCATGATAGTAGAAGGGTTTCCAGCCTCAGGAGAGGGCAAATTCCAACATGCAAGAACATTTTGAGCCTCTGTTTAAATCATTTTGYGTAATATCTCAGTAGTCAAAGCAATTCACATGGCCAATTCTGGAATCAAGATATAGAACAATAGGCCTTTCCTTTTAATAGAAGAATTGTAAATATATATTTCAGAGAGGCATGCACACCCTGAGGAATAGGAGGAATTTGTGACCATTTTTTATACCTTAGATAATAAGTAGAAAGATCATCCTACATCAAATATTGCATTTGCTTTCTGAATGGTTATATTTTAWAATTATGTTGATGATTTAATTCCATGGCTAGCTCACAAAAACCTATTTAGCATTTAGTAAAATACTGTTAATTGTACATAAATACATCTAACCACTGTTTGCAACACAGATTTTATAGGAAACAGCATTTTGAATTTTAGTTTCAGGTTGTCGATTACTAATTTTACTCTTTCCTGGCAGCAGTAGAAGGAGGGACCTACTCAGAAATCCCAGAGCAGGTTAAACAGACCCATCTACTTAGACATTAGTATCATGTATCATTTCTGAGTATAAGAAGGCTTTTTTTTTTTTCTTATAAGTCAAACATTATCTGGATAATAAGCCATGGGAAACGTAATCTATTCTGAGTCTGGGGTAGAGGACATTTGGGGAAAACATATAGGAGCTAAAGAAATAATAGTAATGAGAAAGTGGGGCAGTTAAGAAATGGAACGATTTGGACATCTCAAATATGAACCCTCTCATCTTCAGTTCCCATGTGTGACTCCAGTTAACCATAAGCCAGATATTAAAAGATTATTTGCAGCTGATTTTGTCGAATCCCAAAGCTACTAGAAAACAGAATGGACATTGTCATTAATGTTTTTCTTTTTTTGGTATGAAATAAAAATTGACTCAGAAAAGGGAAACATTTAAAAACTGAAGCATTAGTTTAAAAAATTCAAATAAAATGTTTAATTAAGCATGCAGTATAATTGTCATGTTCTTGTTGAAGACAAGCATAAGTCTTGTCTTCAGAAAGCATAAGTTACATTTAACTCTGTAAGRAAACATTCATGCACTTTAAAAGAAATATAATCAAAAAGATAAAATTCTGTTTCATTCCATTTTTACATAGATAAATGTTTGCTCAGACTATATAACCTGATAATTTTCATGACGTTTTAAAGGAAATGGAGAAGAAGATGAGAATACTCAGAGACAGCACTGAAGAATTACGTAAAGAAATAATGCAGAAAAAATTAGAAATTAAAAATTTGCGGGAAGATTTGACATTTAAGCAAAAGCAATTAGTAAAGGAACAGAAGGATCTAGAAGAATTGCTGCAACACCAGGTTGTCCTAAAGGTATGGTGCTTATAGTTTAGGAACATTTGAACACTGTACCTGCAAGGATGTAAAAATACCTTTGTATAAGGTTAACTACATAGGTTTGACAAAAAGGGATACTGTCTCACAAATGTGTGTTTTGGAGGATCCTATCAAACTAAACCTAAGCTCTGAGAATTCACAAAAATACTCTGGAGTGTTTGAGAGATACTATTGTTTTAATTTAAAGCCCTGGCTCTGGGAGACAGGCCTCTTTAGACATCATCAAATATTTTTCAATATTAAAAAAAAAGTGTCACACTTTTGCTTCCCTGAAGAGCAACCAAATGTCTAACCTCTTGTGTGTATTTGTGTTATCTTATCCTTGTCTATTTAATCCACTTCTTGTCCTCTTACCATAAAAATGATAAGGGGCCTGTATTTACATTTTAGGAGATAATTAACTAAAATTCATATTTTAAGAAAAATGTATGATAATAAGTTTCAAAACAATTAATATAACCTAGAGTTGCTTTAAAAATAACTATTTTTAGAGTTATTTTTATAACGATCTGAGACCCATTGACTTAGAGGACAATTCTGGTATATTTTTACCTCTTTTTCCTTGAGTCTAAGAGCGATTGGTCAACATGTGCCCAACTGTTGCCTGGAATAGAGAAACTAAGCAGAGATGGATTTATCAGGAACCCAGTGAAGCATAAGCTTCAGGCCCCTCACTTATATGAACCTCTTCCAAGGGGCCTGAACCTAATTTACTATTTGCAAGTTTTTACTCTTTTATTTGAAGAGGGACTCCCAAGTACAAGTTTCAGTCTCACAAAACGTGGACTTGCCCCAGAATTGAGCAAGGTTCCACAGAAAGATGTTCTGCCACAGTGATGTGTTCAACCTCCATGCCTATGTGTGACTGCAGGTCCCAAAGTCCAGTGTGATCCTCAGGCAGGAAAGGGCCCTAATGTAACCCAGTAATGTACATGTGACTCTTGGGCCTGAAATTTCCATGAATTCACAGACCATAATGGAAAGTGGTATTGGATAAACTTAACTTCTGATCTTAAATTTAACTTCTTGCCATTTATTCTCTATTTAGACTGTGCGGGAAAATGGTTTAACTTCTAGCATGAATCTTAGGCAGGGTTCCATAAAAGCATTGACTAAGATATTTAATAATTGAGGGAGAGCTCTCAGAAGGATCCCACAGGAGCAGGATAAAGCTGGGGAAGATACAGGGTCAAAATATGGTTTCTACAGTAGAAGAACTCTTGTCTTAACTTGACCCYATGGAGTTCCCTTCATCTTGAATTGTATGGCAGCAGCTATCGCCCACGGGCAAGGGGTATGGGCTGTTTTACTGACACTTAAGTTACTGGTCACAGCCTGTCCCCATCTCCACCACACCATCCTCCATACCCTGCTCAGCCAATGGCAATACAATGGAGAGATTAACATGAGCTATTGGCAGGTGTCCACTGCAGCATGTGTGGGAAGAACACCTCCATAAAGGGAATCTGAGCAGAGCTCCAAAAGTCTTTGTCACATTCATTGACACCCTCTTTAAGACAGTAACAAATACTATCTTATAAGATCAGTGTGATAGTAAGAATTCTACATATTATAGTTCCTTTTTCTATCTTATTTGTTTGTCTTGATTGTTTCTGGTCCAAGACTACATGATATAACCTAATTGCATTTCTTTACTAGGATGAAGTGGTCTACCATCAAACTGTTCCTGTACAGATTGTAAAAGAGATTGAAAAAATGGCACGCAGAAAAGTGTAAGTTTAATGCTTTTATTTTGAATCTTTCCCAGTCTAACCTCCCCCAAGTAATGTGAGCACACTAAATCAAGATGACTAATCACTGGACACATCAAATTAGTATCATCATTTAGAAGTATCTGCTTTGGGCCCTGTCTCTGTTGTATATATCAAGTTCTTTAAAAGAAAGTTGTACAGCAAATTGCTATCATTCTTATTTATTTATGGGTCAAGATTCTGTTTCCAATTTATAAATAGTTTTTATGGAGAACTTCAATTGACTTTAACAGAGGTAGGGATACATTATTTAAGCTGGTTAGAATTTCATGGTTTAGAATTATGTTATCCAGCCAGCAGCCCAAATGATGGTAACTCTTCACTTCATGAGAATATGACACCCTCAGACATTCAGAACAGATTTGGATTCAGAGGTCGTTGAAGAAATTCTCAGGGTTTCAAAGAACCAAAAAGAATAAAGATTATTGAAGATACAAGTATTATGGAGAAATAATATGATAAATCTGCTGACTGGTTTTAAAAGAGGAGGGGAAAATGAAATAGTAATGGTTCCAAAAACCAAGCTCACCAACACCAAAGTTGAGAAATTCAGGTCAGTCCCAGGAAGCTAGTTAGGATGTGGGTAGAAGTAGAAGAGACAACAGGATCTGGGATCTGGGAGGAAGTAGGGAAGCCTGGCAAATTCTGCCTTCGGTAGCACTTGGACATACCTCTGACATCACTGAATGAATGACTAACTCTTTCGACAGGTTTTGAGCATGGGCTTGAAATAAGGTACTCTTGTGTGTGTCACTTACAGAGAAATGGAAAAGATAAATATTATCTTGGAACTTGAAGTCAAAGAGCTAAACGACTCCCTAAAGAAAGTTGAAAACAAAATTAGTGCTGTAATAGAAGAGAAAGAGGATGTAATGAAGGAAGTTGAAGGCAAAAGAACCTTGCTTGAAATCAAAGAACGAGAATATAACCAACTAGTCAAGCTATTGGAATTAACCAGAGAGAATGAAGCCACTTCACTAAGTGAAAAGTTAGTTATATTTATGTGTGTTGTCATCTAAATTTTTTCTTCAACATATAAGCATCGATTCAGAACATACTCTCAAATGGTTTTATGTTGATTAAAGTAAGCCTTTTTACTCTTTTTTTCTTTTTATTTGTGTGTGGTACTGGGATTGAATCAGGGGCACTCTGCCACTAAGCTACACCCCAAGTCCTTTTTATTTTTTATTTTAAGACAAGGTCTTTTTAAATTATTTAGGACATTGCGAMGTTATTGGGGCTGGTCTCAAACTTGCCATTCTCCTGGCTCAGGCTCCAGAGTAGCTGAGATTACAGGCATTAAAAGAATTTTTAATCAGTTTTTGCTATTAATTAAAAATGTTATTGGACTGTGGATGTAGCTCAGTGGTAGAGTGCTTACCAAGCATAAACAAGGCCCTGGGTTAAATCCCCAGGACTGAAATAAATAATATATATATTATCAATAAAGCATTTTGAAGTACCTTTTCCATCTTTTACTCATACTTTTCCTCAATTCTCTGTGACCAAATTTTAAGGACAAAATCCATTGAAGTTTCTGAAATGTACTTCCAGACAATTCTATCACTGGTGTGTGCTCTACAGTTCAGAGATTTTACCAACCAATAAATGATGTTTTTGAAGTAATCCTGATTTTTTTTCCTAATAGAGACAAATTTATGATGTGATTCCTAAAAGAATTTTATTTACTTTTTTTTTCCAGTGCTGGTGATTGAAGCCAGAGCCTCATGCATGCTAGACAAGTACTCTACCACTAAGCTACATCCCCTGCCCCAACTTACCATTTTTAGATAAAATTTTAGAGAAAGTAGGGGCTTCTCTCTCTGACACTCTGTTATTACATTTAGGAGTTTTATAAAACTGTAATTCAAAAATGATACAAGTTCACAAACCTGGTAACTTTGAGCATTATTTATAATTTATGATTCTAACATGAGAATAGTTTTGTACATATATACTGATTTTGAAAAATGTGTAAGACAGCTGATAACAGATCATTCTCATTTTCTCCCTGTACCTGGACAGAGGGATCTTAGATCTCAACATACGAAACAATGTCATTGACAAGCAGAACTACCATGATGAGTTTTCTCACAAGCAAAGAGAGAAKGAGCGAGATATTCGAAATTTAAAAAAGATGGAGATGCTCTTGAAAGTGTCCTCAGATTCACTTACTCAAACTCAAGCCATGTATAAAAGGCTTCAATTAGAGGTGAGTGCTGCAAACTTCTGTCTGGTTTTTAAACTGAGTGCCATCTTTTGAATTAAAAATATTTTGGGAAGTTGTTTTGCTAACTATAGAGAAAGAAGAAGAAAAGTAAGAGGGAAAAGGCAGTTTTCAAATGCATCAGACCTAGTATAGAGTTTTTTGCCCTATGTTTTTCAATCTCTTTTTCTTGCCCAAGACCAGAGAAATGTCTTATTTGGATCAGATATCAGCCTGGCTAGGGAAGTAATTTAGCCATTTAGTTTTAGAAGACTAGAGGTTTCACTTCAGGGTAGGTCTGAGTGCATCACTGTCTTTATCAGTTGAGAGATTCAGCATGGCACCATGGCAGACTATGTCCATTAAGGACCAGATCAAATCATGTATATATCAAATCATGTAAATGTGGTCAGTTGGTCTGTACCTCCAACTAGCCAAGGCAATCCAGATTCCAACATTGTTTTCCTTTCTTTAAACTTTAAAAGGCTAAAGAAATTTTTATAGTTATGATAAGATTATGAATGTGGCTGTTTTTTTATTGGTTGTGCAAAACATTACAAAGCTATTGACAAATCRTATTTCATACATTAGATTCAAGTTGGTTATGAACTCCCAATTTTACCCCAAATACAGATTGCAGAATCACATCGGTTACACATCCACATTTTTACATAATGCCCTATTAGTAACTGTTGTATTCTGCTACCTTTCCTATCCTCTACTGTCCCCCAAATGTGGCTGTTTTATTACAGTGTAGAAGACTACATCATCAGGCTGTATTGATGAATCTCAAAATGTTTCTCAGGACCCACTCTCACTACCTGAATGACTACAATTGCCCACTGGCTATTTTCTGTAGGTCCTATTCCTTCCATGTCCAATCTATACTCAATTTTTCTACTAAATTAAGATTGATGAATATCACTCACCTATGCAAGACATTCAATAGGTCCTTTTTTCACATAGTCATAGAAAAAATTGGGAGGAATCATAAAGATCATATGGTCCAATCAAGGCAAACAAGTATCACTCCAAGAATCAGCGCCATTCATTTGGTGGCAGCTCCTCATAGTGACCATGTTGCCAAGGATTCTGAGGCCCAGCACTGCCTTGTCAGACAGGAGCTCTGTAGTCAAATAGTGATGTCTGTCCCAAGCATGGAAAGAAAGATTTTCCATGTATTTCCTACTCCTCATCAAGTTCTCTTCAAATTAAGTTCTATTCCTTCAGTTGGTTCTTTTGCTATCTCTTCATTTCCTATGTGACATGCTTATAATACTGTTACTTGAATTTTCAGTTTTAAAACTGATCTTTGTACATTTCACTGCAAAAGAGAAGGATATGGCTCTCTTTTAGATCCCTGTTCACCATGTACACATTTCTTGTCACTCCATGATCCCAGTATGCTCAAGTCGTAATTTCAGTTAGTTCAGAATTTAATGTTCACATTGTTATGAACATGTAAAGTCTATGCACACCTGAGCCATGTAATATTATATAATTGCCCTTTCTTATAAAACTTTACACTCTCAAGAATTTATAAACATCCTGTTTTTTCTTTTGTATATTTTCCTGTGTACTTATTAGTTCATTCCCAAGCCCCTTCTCTCCAGTTGCATGAATTTCCTCTCAGTGTGTTAAAACACATTTGATAGTCCACACATTTAATTTTCTTGAAGAAATCATTCCTGAGCCTTGTCAGTGGCCTCTAGAAAAAGACAACAAGAATACTCTTATATTCAAATGGGTTGTTTAATCACACATTGCAGCAAGGGAGAACACATATCACAGGGAATTGTAGGAGGTCTCAGCAGAGGGAATTAGAAAGGAGTAGAGGGTATTAGCCACACTTGGACTTGTGTCATGTGATGTGGGAAATGGTGTAAGAAATGAGACTTAGCCTTGAATTTGGATGTTGTCAGGAGATGAGAGTAATTTTATGGATGAGTATCTTAACAAAAGTTAGAGAAAAGACTAGATGGAGGAAAGCTGTAATTGGTAAAGACTGTAAGTGGGGGATGTATGCTGTTTTTGTGGCTTGGACGACATTCATGTTTTTGTCTGTATTCAAACACAATTATGAAATGGTCTTGTTTTTGTCTTGCTCCATCATAATCACACAGTGGCTTTGTCTGAAGTTGATGTTCTGTGAAATTGTTTAGGATCAACAGAACACCAGGGCTTAGCTGTGAATGCGCAGCCAGCTCCTGGATATCAGGGCTGCTAATCTCTTTCTCAGCCCTCTGACCCGTTGTTACTAACTCATTTCTCTGTGTGCCTACCACCATGCTCATTTGGGGAGCCTTCTCTACCATCTTGGTGATATGCTCTATCTCCCTTCTGCGATTCCTTATTCCACAGGTCTATTTCTTTTTTACTACCTTTTTTTGGGAGGATACATGCTCCCAGTAGCTTACTGAGAAAATGAGACTGGAAGGAGTTTTTAAAGACTTTTCATGTCAGAAAATGCATGATATAAAATATTTTTCTTTCACACTAGCTGTACATATAATTAATAGTTTAACTGGATATGGAATTTTAGGTTGGAAATAATTTTCCATCAGCACAAAGGCATTGATCAATTATAGCTTCTGAAGTCACAGTTAAGAAAACCTGTATCATTCTGATTCTGGATCTTTATGAAGACTTTATTCCATGCTGGAAGCCTGTGGGATCTTAACTTGCCACCAGAATTTTTAAATCTCATAGGGCTATTCCCACATATGGGCTTTTTTTTTGGGAGGGGGTTGCTGGAAATTGAACCCCAGTGCCCTCGACCACTGAGCCACATCCCCAGCCCTATTATTTAGAGACAGTGTCTCACTTGGTTGCTTAGTGCCTGGCTTTTGCTGAGGCTGGCTTCGAACTTGTAATCTCCTGCCTCAGMCTCCTGAGATACCAGGATTATAGGCATGTGCCCCAGTGCCTGGCGGCTTCCATTTTTATTTATTTCTCTGGGCACTTGGTTGGTTTTTGTGTGTGGAAACATGTCATTCAGTTCTGAGACTTAGAACTATTTCTTTACTTTTGCCCCCTCCATTTTGTCTTTTTGATCTGTTATGAGGGGGCTTTCTTCAATGTTTTCTTCTAACCATTTACTTTTTCATCTGGCTCTTATATTTTGTATTTCCATAAGCTCTTTTATTTTTCTCTGAATGTTTCTTTTTTTATAGTATTTTTTATTCGTATTTAATATCTTCTCTTATCTCACTGAACATACTAGTCATGATTTCTACTTCTTCCTACAGGAACTTTATTTTCTTTAAATTACTTTTTCCTGGATTTTGTTGTTTTGGTTTGATTATTTTGATCTCTTTCTTATTAAGAACTTTCCTCCAGTGTGTGGTGATCCTTGGCTACCTAGTCATATTTAAGCATGGGACACTATAAATCTAACTAGGCTCTGATTCCAATGGTAAGACTTATAGATTGATCTAGCTAGACACAGAGTACACAGGAATGGTCCCTGACTAAAGAGTAGTTTGCAGTGGAATGCTCACATTCTCCAAATATTAACAAATAAAAACTATTTATACTATGACTACCAGCCACCAAGTTCATAAAATAGCACCCATGAACATAAAACTAAAAGAAATTAAATATATTAAGATACTCTCCTTCACTGATTTCAAGAAAAAGCTCAGTTATTGTCCTAGAACAGTTTCAGTAAGATACTTCCTCTTTGACATATGACTTTTAATTAGCTTGGCTACTACCCACAGCTGGCAGTACTTGAAAATGGGAGTCAGGCCAGTCACTCCCTGAAAACTTCATACTTGCATGCAATCCAAGAAGGGAAAAGATTAAAAAGTGAGTGTGCAGATGGTTCTGGCTAGTCTTCAGAATTTATTTTCCCCAGAGACAGTTTGATTCTCCTATGGTTTTTGACTCTTTAGAGATTTTTCCAGAAACTCAAGACACAAACCTCATGGATATTTGGAATGTTTTTGAAAAATATCAAAGCATTACCCTTAACACTGAGGTTTCCTGATATCAAATAATCAGGATGTTTATAGCAACAGAATAATGTCTAATTTCTTTTATGAAGTTATGGATGGAAAATCTGTTGGGAACCTTTGGTTGACATAGTAGCTGGTGGGTATGCTCTCATATTTTTTTGTCACAAAAAAGAATTTCCTGGTCCCAGATAGTATTTATGTGCCGATTTGCTTACCCCTGGGAACAGAGCATGGGAAGCAGCCCACTCCTAGTCCATTGGTAGCAGGGAATGAGTTGGAACCCAAGATGCTTCCTGGACTTCCTCTGCCCAGAAAGGCTTAGCTCCAGTTTCCAGTGCGGAAAATCAAGCTCCTTCTCACTGACTTCTTCCCTGTTCCGTCAAGTCTCTCCTATAGACTTGATCTCTCCCTTTGCTGATCTCCTATAGCAATTATCTGTTCATTGAGACCACAAGATTCTGTATATTGTTACATGGATCTCATAAGACCCTGATTCATTTCCCTAAGACAAGTATGTGTTCTTTGACAACTAGCTTTCCATGTAGGCATGGGAAGCAGGACATCACTGAGCACACAAAGCTAAAAAGGTGTTCCTGCAGATACACAGAAACCTGTGAAGTGTCCAAAGACACTTCAGCTACTTTTTTTTTTTTCTGGTACAGGGGATTGAACCCAGAGGTGCTTAACCACTAAGCCACATTCCCACCCCTTTTTATTTTTTTTATTTTGAGATAGGGTCTCTCTAAGTTGCTTAGAACTTTGTTAAGTTGCTGAGGCTGGCTTTCAACTCATGATCCTCCTGCCTCAGCCTCCTGAGCTCCTGGGATTACAGACATGCACCATCATGCCCAGTGACACTTCAGTTACTCTAAAACAGTAGCTTGACTCTCAGAAAGATCTTGTTAGGTGACTTTTAAATCAATAAATAGTATGATATTCCCCTCTTGGAACAAGTTTTAGCCACTATTCAACCTTGGTGCCTGGAAGTATATGCTGTCACAGGAAGAATGAGCCACATCAGATTAGTCTCATATGCTTCTGTTATAATGGTCCAAAATCAAGTAGGCCATACACACCCCAAGGTGTCCCTTCCTGTGGTCTCAGATGGCACCCCTTCCCTTATCAGTTGCCATGTGTCCTTCTCCTCATAAAGAATCTGTCAAGATCATTTCAAATGGGGCAACAAAAATTCATAGACTGAGCTTTTGCTCTCTTCCCAAAGAACTTAAACATGGGGGGAAATACAAACAAAATTTAGGTATCAACAAAAAAAGAGGCTTTTCTTTCGTGTAAGAACTTTGTCTGCTCATCAAACTATTGAAAAAATTTTCCACTTCTGTTGGTGGATGGGTCTGTGTATCCTGCAGGCCTCTGCAGCCAAGAAAGCCTGTTTTAGCGTTAGCAGCTAATCACAGCAGAGGATATCTATAGACATTAGCTCCACGGTCGCAGCCAGCAAAGCCTGATTCTTCACTACTATGGAATGACGTGTTGCAACTCTGAGTGGCAGGCTGTGTCCTCCAGTGTTGCAACAGACCCCAGCAGCTCACTGCCAACTTCTTTTCAGGTTCTTGTATTCCAAATCCAAAGAATAAAGTTCACGGTACAACAGAAGGCAAAAGTGAAAGGAATAGGATTTATTCAAGTGTGAAACTCTCACAGGGGCAAGAGGGGACCTGATAGCAGGTTGCCACTTGGGTATGCTAAAGTCTAGGAGTTTCTATAGCACTTGAATCAACACTATTGATCCAAATTTATGCCAATCAGGGTTTGGAAAACTACCAATGCTATTGGTTAGTCCTGCGGTCCCTTTCAGGTCTGCCTCACTTCCCTTTTCCCATGGCTTGTTGGGAAGCAGGAGGTTGAGGTTGTCAGATGGTGGATGGTCAGGGTTCTGGGCTGTGGTGCTGTGTGGAGTGGGCATCTGCACCAGGCCAGGTTGGGCTACCTCGGGGCTCTTTGTGCCTCACGCCCGTGCCAGCATGATGGGATCTGCGAGACTGATGTCTGTGCTCATTACCTGTACATAAGCTCACCCAGTCTATAGCTCTGCTGCCCTAGGACAAAGGCTTGCCTTCACTCCTATCTGAAAGTATCAAACTATTCCCACTATTAGTAATAAATAGTTTACATTTTTCTTTAACCTATAAAATTACATAAATGAACTCACATTTTATAATATCACTTTTGAATAGTCATAGTATATGCATGTTTTCAAAGTGCTGAAGCATGAGTTAGAGAGGTAATATGATGTTGTATTAAGGTCACAGCAGAAGATTCACTGCCTGAGTTTGCACCTGTACCATTAAGGCAAATGACCTAAATGTGTTTGTGCCTCATTTTCCTCATCTGTTCAATTGGAGATAATAGTATTATCTACCTCATAAGGTTATTGTAAGGATTAAATAAGAACATACATATAAGCCCTTAGAGTTTTCCAAGCACCTAGTCAATGCTCAATAAAAATAATAATAGATATTAGTAAGATTTATTTGTAAATGAATAAATAAAATACTTGCAGCTGGTGAATAATGAGTGCTTGACATTTCTTTGGGGTTATAGTTTGCTATGACTTTATAGAGTGTTCAGCATAATAAGCAGTTCCTATAAGAGGAGAATATGTTTTGCCTGCCTTTTTCAGAAAGTATGTAATGGGTTTGATTACATGACATCGAAGATTGCTTTTTTCTATAAGTACCTATTTTAAATTTTGATTTCCAGATTGAAGCAATCCCTAAAGATGATTCTGTATTATCTGAGAGAAGGAAAGAACTCCACAGGGAAGTTGAAATAGCTAAGAGGAATTTGGTCCAA